TTCACTGACTCTTTGGTTTGTTTACTTTGGTTAATACAATTCATAAGAAGGAGATGTGGGTGGTCTAGGAAATTTAATATCTTCTTTTATTTTTTAATCTCTTGAGAATTTCAAAGCAGCTGCTTTGATTTGTAGGACCTTGTGAAATGTGCATGGTCCGTTTAACGATTAGTTTTTAAAGCGCAAATCAATCCGCAAACCATACTAAATATAATGAGATTATTTAGAGGGAGGTGGTGGGGGGATTTTGCTTAATCATTTTTTTGTCTGATGAATGGGTTGCTTTATCAGGGTAGGGTTTTTGTCTTATATGTTTTTCGATATTTTTACAGCGGGATTTCGGCCTGGTAGGTTTTTGGCCTGTGAGATTTTTCTAAATATAAGAATATAAGTTCTTGTAGGTTTTTGTAATCTACCTTTAATGAGCTGGCCTAATTCTATTGACTGGCGGGGAGGTGGAGGCCCAATTTCAGTTTTTAGACTGGTAGCATGGATGTTCCAAAACAGACCACATAAATATTTTTTTCAAATAGGGATGCGGACAAACATAATGGAATGCAAGCCCTGTTGACGTACGCGCCTAAAAAAGGAAAAATTGGTTGAGGGGGCCCGAGCTAGGGCTACAAAATTTTCCAGCGGGGGAGGAGGGGGAGGTGGCACATGCTTTCTCTATGTAAATTGATACAAATTTTGAAAGTGCCCCCGAAGAAACGCCATATTTCTAATAGCAGTGGAAATCAAATGCACTTAATTCTCTGGACTTTAAAAGGAAGATTTTTAAAGAGTCAATTTTCAGACAGGATCCTCGAAAGAATTTGTAGTAAAATTCTTCTTATTCATCGTAGCACTTTAAGAAAATAGAACATTAAAAAATTTTCTTCGAAAACATGTGAAACATTTAAACAATTATTCTTACCTTTTAACAGTTCCAACAAAAACTTGGCAATTTAAAACAGAAATCCCACCGAAATGGCTTATATAAAACATTTTACACTTAAAACTTAAGACATACACGCTGGCATGTGGCACTGTTTAATCATCAAGAATTGGTTGTAAATTACAATATTTAAAGTAGAGACAGAACCAAACAATCAGACGATAGAACGAGTGTTCCACGTTTGAATACCTTGATGTTCATTCCATTCCATCTTATAACAAATCTAACTACTTGATGATCGCGACTGAAAATCTTGTCAGAATGATAATCCAGCCAAACGGAAGAAATTGCCAAGTGGGTATTAGAGAATGACAGGGCGACAGACGTGAGTAATTCCTGATAATTAGAGTAAGATAGTCGGAGGAATATCTCTGATAAATTGGCATTATAGAACCAAGAGATTGCCACTTAATTGGGCTTGTTAATAAGTACCTTTGTAGATGCTACACTGCACGGTTTCTATATATGGTACTTCACTGGACTGATTAAGTATTGTCAGGTCATATGAAGAGCCTCAAATACTCAATTAAAAATCTTCCCACCATACTTTTCAAATGCAAGTAGATTTGATCACCAATCGAAGTCAATAAAATCTCTATGAGACCTCGGCGACCATACACCGGCAATTAATCCGAAACTCACTGATTGTCTCCAAACGTTTGATGCTAAAGTAGACTATCTATTTAGAATAACATTCAGTATGAAAATGTGCATCAAAAACAAAAGATAGAGAAAAATTGCATAATTGAATTCGTTATCTTACAAAGCGTATCGTTCAACACAAGGATTCTTTACGACGACTTTTTGATTGTCAAAAGTTTTTGTGTGTGTGATATCACCACTCCTTGAAACTCTGAATCTTACTATATTTCTATTGCTTTAATAAAGCCAGAGGAATATTCTTAAACAAATATTAACACTGTAGCCTAATATATGAAATACAGATCATTTTGGATCATGAACAGTTTGCGATAAAGAATTGAGTTACACGTAGAATTGCACAGACAATTGTTTTAAGATTTTTGTCCGTTGAAAACATTAGTAGGTGTCTATAAGTTTTCTTTCGCCGCACACATACTGAAAATGATGTGAATAGCTCAAATAAGGATTTATATGGAAGAACAAAACATTTAGAGGCAATACAATATCCCTTTAATGTATCCGATGAAAATATCTTTGTGGTCAGATTTGCCCATTTCACAAAGTCGCCAGTGTAGAAATACGCTAGGATAATCATGGCAATCATACAGGCCTACGGATTTTTACTGAAATCCGATCAAAACTGTCTGGGCTCTATTCTGTCTAAATCAATATTAATGAGTAACAAATTCTCTTGCAGGAAAGGATTGCGTCTCACTCAGTTAAAAAGATATAACTGGAACAAATGCCCCCAACAACATAAAAAAAAGATAAATCGTCGTATCATTTCCCTAAGAAACTCAAATTCAGCTAACCATATCGCTTTCTAGAATCAGAATTACTTTACGTTTTCTTACACCCATATCCATCTAACCCATATACCTCACTTGTGATGAAACTTTGTATAGATTGTATATATGGTGAGACTTCGGTCAAGTTCGAAATTAGTAATAATTGGATGAAAGATTACAGGGTTATTACCCTTGACTTAGTAAAACACGTCAAATTTGGCTTGAAGGCACGATATAGATTATAGTTTTTAACCGATCTTGAAGAAACTTTGTATCGAGGGTGCAATTTTTATCTGATCTCGATGAAGCTTGGTATGCATGTACATATGGACAAGATCTCGGGGGGGGGGGGGGGGGGCAAAAGGGTTATCTTCCCCCCCCCCAGCCCCCAATTTTTTCGGGCAAAAATCTCTTAACTTGGTTAGAAATTCGGACAACCTTAGGTATTTATTAAGCCACTACAGACTTTGTTATCATTTCTTACAGATAGTAGCGGGCGTATGTTACATTGCCTGGCAAGCTATCTTTCCTATTACAACAACTGTAGTAAATTATCCCCATTGGAAATATAGACTTTTTACTAAATCGTCAGAAATAACAATGACACGGAGTATAGCCATAAATCATCAGTAAGAACTATAACACGGAGTAAGCCATCATTCATTAGTAATAACAATGATATGGAGTATTGAAAACAAATATCAGTGATAACAATGATATGGAACATTGAAATAATTCATCAGTTAAAACAATGATATGGAATATTTTTTGATATAAATTATCAGTAATAACAATGATATGGAGTATTGATATAAATTATCTGTAATAACAATGATATAGAGTATTGATATAAATTATCAGCAATAACAATGATATGGAGTATTGATATAAATTATCTGTAATAACAATGATATAGAGTATTGATATAAATTATCAGTAATAACAATGATATAGAGTATTGATATAAATTATCAGTAATAACAATGATATGGAGTATTGATATAAATTATCTGTAATAACAATGATATGGAGTATTGGTATAAATTATCTGTAATAACCAGTAATAACAATGATATGGAGTATTGATATAAATTATCAGTAATAACAATGATATGGAGTATTGATATAAATAATCTGTAATAACAATGATATGGAGTATTGATATAAATTATCAGTAATAACAATGATATGGAACATTGTCATAAATCATTAGTTTTAACTAGAATTTGGGGTCATGACACATAGCATAAGTAATAACAATGAAATAGGGAATTGACATAAAAAATCAGTAAAAATAATGATATAGAGTATTAATGGAAAACATCGATGTGATATGAAATATTGGCAATGGAAAAGGAAAAATGGCTATAATAACCAAAATTGGCTAATTCATATGAAAAAAAATTATCGATGGAATAAATCATCAGTAAGGACAATGAAAGGCAACAGTGACTAGATTATATAGTCAGAAATGACATTGAAAGAGAAAATTAGCTGGAATCATCAGTAATAAAAAAAAAATTGTTAGTATTTATCACAAGTAATAACAATGAAAGAGAGGTTGCTAGAATAAATTATCCATAATATTGAAAAAATTGGATAACAATAACAATAGAAGATGAAGATGGGTTGAATAAATTATCCATAACATTGAAAGAGAAAATCTTTTAATTCTTGCCATAAAAATCATATTGGGACAATCTAATAATGTTTGCCGACAAATCAGTCATAATAAGACAATCTAATAATGCTTGTCAGAACAAACCAGTCATAATAAGACAATCTTATAATGCTTGTCAGAACAAACCAGTCATAATAAGACAAGATATTAATGTTTGCCAGAACAAATCAGTCATAATAAGACAATCTATTAATGTTTGCCAGAACAAATCAGTCATAATAAGACAATCTAATAATGTTTGCCTGAAAAAATCAGTCATAATTTGCCAGAACAAATCAGACATAATAAGACAATCTAATAATGTTTGCCAGAACAAATCAGTCATAATAAGACAAGATATTAATGTTTGCCAGAACAAATCAGTCATAATAAGACAATCTATCAATATTTGCCAGAACAAATCAGTCATAATAAGACAATCTAACAATGAATAATAATGTGAATCTTAGGTGGCGCTTGATTGTTGAGTTCTGAACATGTCCTGTTCGTTCCAATTCTGGCCACAATCAAACAGTACAGAACCAGATTCAAAATTTTCCCTTTTAGTCCTTTCTTCACCATTGTGAACTCTGTCTGCATTTACTATTTTTGTGGCACACATGAACTCTGTTTTTATTGAACATCCAGTGGATTCCATAAATCCCAAACATGCAGAATTCACCAATCGAGCGCCCCCCTAGAGTAATGTATGCTAAATAATAAAATACAATTTGACCAGATCTGAGTACTATTTCAACAATTTACTACTGTACTTCATCAAGTCTGTCTTTGAGTGACGATTGTGAATTGATACTACTAGCTGAGGATATCAAGGCCTGGTAATTGGGTGCTATACGACTTCGAAGATCTTGATTAATAGCACTATGAACATCAAACTGGGAACCCGATACAGAATAGTAAGATGAACAATTGGAATCTGTCAAACATCTTGTGGATTTTTGATTCAGTATGTTACCCTACAAAAAGAGTTCAAACAATATGTAGACAATTCCAAACAATTTTACCACTTATAAAAAAGCTCTGGACGAACCAGCATAAATTTTCGCCAAATCACGTCAATTAAAATCGCCAGTGAATTTTCACGCTCCATCACGAAGGGACACATTTTGAAAATCACATATCAACATCATGTTCCATTGGTTTAAAAATACTGATCACATAACAAAATCCAACAAATTGCTTTGCTGTTGTAAGTAATGATCTGAAAGTCCAGGGTTCAATCCTGGCATAGGTCGAGATTATACCTTTTGAATTTTCAACCCGGTTTACCCGAGGACCTGAGTGCTACAGGCTGTGCACATTAAAGATCCCTCGACAGTTGGAAATTGAAAAAGAGCAGGTTAATGCCGCTGTCCTGGAAATATTTCCCTCATCGCACCCTGCATGGCGTTGCCAGTCTTCATTAGCCCACATGGTGCAGAAAAGTGGGAAGTAAAACTCAAATCATTTCATGTAACAATTAGCTAAAAAAGAAAGTAAAGGACATACCTGTTTCCAATCAATGATATTGAGAAGTATGGTAAATATCAAACATAATATTATAATAGACATCAAGAACATTAAAACATTGACCCAATCTTGAGCTTTATCTTCATCACTATAACAAAAGAACACAAGATCAACCAGAGCATGCATGAAAGAGATGCCAAGCTGACGAACAAAACACATGGCATCATATTTTTAATAAGGGTAGAATAAAGTTGTAATTCAAGAATCAGCGAGAACAGCAAAGGCTCCACCAACTCGATACAGATGTTAATCACCACAAACAACCAACCAAAACAGCGAACAAAATGACCGCCTGCCAATCTTTCTGGATATCTTTCGTCTGCATTTCAAGTATCTAATGCACACCTCAATACCATTTTGTCAAATACACACAAGACAACAAAAATCAAATTTCATCTTTAACAACACGCTTGTCACTTTGTTGTTGTGGGTAAAAAATATGAGAGCTGATTTTAAGAGGATTGGTCAATATTCAGGTGTCAATCATTCTTGCAGATCTGTGAAAAGGGACAACCACTTCAATAATTACAGTCTGATGACCTTCAAAGGTCAAACCATCTGTAAATGGGTACGGATAATCCAGATCAGTGCCAAGAGGTTTGGCCAAGGACCAGCTGGTAGAAAGGATCCTCAATTTTGAACCTAAGTTGTTATCCTTGTAAAATATAGTGGTTTCTATTTTTCTTGTTTACTGTTAAAATAGAATAATATACTTAACTGGATATGGATAACAATTACTTAAATAAATAAGTTAAAGTAAGTTATTTATTAAAGTAATTGTAACCCATATAATTGTGTCCAGTTATTCATACCTCAGTTACTAAATGCCACTCAAGGAAGATAAAATACTTACGGGCCACGAAGATTCAGTAATTTACCCATAACCAGATTAGCTATACCAATACCAATAAATTGAAATGATGTCAGTATTCCCATGGCTATACCTAATGCTCTAGGTTTGACAAGCAGTGGTACTGAGGGCCACATAGTAATCTAAATATATTGAAAGGTAATAATATTGCAGTGTGCGATGAGGAACTTCTTACCAAGAAAGATTACTCTTTTTCTTATTTATTTTTTGAAAACTGTCAAGGAATGCAGTATCTCCAAATTGTCAAGCTATTACGATCTTTATCTTATACCTTGACTGCAATAGCCACCTTTCTTGCATCACAGAATGCAACAATTTGACTGGATAGTAGGCCAGCAAATACAGCAAATCATAGCCTGACAGATAAACTGTAATCATTATGCCCCCTTGTTTACAGACTATCAAGGATTTTGGATTGTCTGATTTTTTGCTAACATACAATCCAACCAATCACCATTACCAAACTTCTGTGATACAAGAAAGGTGGCTATTGCAGTCAAGGCATAAAACAAAGATCGGAATAGCTTGACATTGTGAAGATGAGCATGCAGAACCTTGGTTTACTAATATTAGACAATAATGAATGGAGATCTCAAATCTAATCAGATACACTAATCTGAAATCCTTCATCCTATTTTGGACATTTCCTTCCAGTTAAATCTGTCAGACCTTTGTCAATCAAGTTATATGTAATTATTTGTTATCTTTGTTATTATTGTTCACCCTTCAAGCTTGGTGTTTAAATCTGTGCTATAATTATTATTTTGTCTGCACCTGTGGGATATAATAACCAAATTGATAGGTAAGTAATAAACTCCAACATAATACTTACCACTAAGATACCAAGTATAGGAGCTCCTAATAATGCTATATAATAAGGAGCTCCAGCTATATAAGATGCTATATGTTGGTTATAACCATATTTATCTTGATACAATTTACTGAAAAATAATATTAAAAATGTAAGACTTCAAATTTTGTCTGTTCCAAAAACCAGGCAATAAAGCTAACTACTACAGTAAAGATTGCAATTTCAAGGCATTTCATCACTTTATAGCAGATCACAGTCAATTTCAACTTTCCATAGTTAGTAATTAGATAACTTAACTTGAATCAGCAATTGAGAATTGTGGTAAATAGGTTACTAATGTTCAATCAGCAATAAAGGGAATAATGGTAAACAGATTACTAACCTTGAATCAGCAATATAGGGAATAATGGTAAACAGATTACTAACCTTGAATCAGCAATATAGGGAATAATGGTAAACAGATAACTAATCTTGAATCAGCTATATAATGAATAATGGTAAACAGATTACTGGCCTTGAATCAGCTATATAATGAATAATGGTAAACAGATTACTAACCTTGAATCAGCAATATAGGGAATAATTGTAAACTGATAACTAACCTTGAATCAGTAATCTAAGGTATAATGGTAAACAGATTACTAACCTTGAATCAGCAATATAATGAATAATGGTAAACAGATTGCTAACCTTGAATCAGCAATATAAGGAATAATGGTAAACAGATTACTAACCTTGAATCAGCAATATAATGAATAATGGTAAACAGATTGCTAACCTTGAATCAGCTATATAATGAATAATGGTAAACAGATTACTAACCTTGAATCAGCAATATATGGAATAATGGTTGAATAAGACAACATTGTTACTATTGTTAATATCCAATAAGTTGCAGAAAAATCACGGATATCCTTACATTCCTATAAATAAATAAAGTACATGTATACGAGAAACGGTCTTCTAAATGTCTGCTTAACCAGTCTTACTTCTAGCTTAACCTATCAACAGCATTTTCTAAGATGTCAAAGATGCGCACATTCAGGAACAATTCGAGGAGTCTTTTTTGTTTTGAGGTAGAATAATAGAGATACACTACAGCTACAGCAAACTATAGAAATAAATAATCCTTCATTGGCATATTAGAAGCGTAAGATATAGATAAATAAGACAATTATATGGATATATACTTCTGGAATATTTATTACTTCAACGTTTCAATGTGGTTCTCACACCGTCATCAGGAGTATAATCATTTTTAATCATACCCAAATATTCCAGCAGAAACATTCAACATATAATTTCATAACAGACTGTTTAAAATCAATCTAATATAAGAATTCCTAATGCTTTCTATGTTTCACACAGACAAATCCAGACTAAAATTTCAAAAAAGATTGCCAAATATATATATAAGTGGTGATTACTAATCCCAGCTCAGAAATTCAGTGCATGCGAAAGGTAACGAATACAGCAACAGTTCCATAGAAAAATTCAACCTACCAGAGTTCTTCTTACTTCTTTATCTGCTTTGTTCAATTTCTTCAAACCATATTGATCCAAGAAAGACATCAAAACAACAAATAGGAAACCACTACAACATAAGACACTACCTAAAACAAAGAGTCATTATATTATAATATATATATACACCAAATAAGCAATATAAGCTATGTAAGGTTCTAATGCACAGTGGGTCAGAGCGTTGGTTCATTCAAGATATCATTTGCTAGACTACATGGAACAAATGGTGGTTGTGGGCTCTGATATCGATCAGCATGTAAAAGTCCAATGACTTGAACAAGTCATCTTCACTCATAATTCCAGTTGTCCAGCTGTAAATGGGTGCGGATAATCCGGGAAAGATCAATGCCAAGACGTTTGACCAAGAACCAGCTGGTGGAAAGGATCCTTAACTGTGAACCTATTTAGTTATAGTTTTCTTCTTTTTTTTGCTTTCTCATAAAGAAATGGAAGTTGTCAAACACCCTTGGAGAGTTCCATCAGGTGTTCCAGAAGGGCATGATTTGTGTACTATTATCCACCACAGTGAAATTTTTGATCTTCAGTCTAACAGCATATTTGTACCACTTACTTGCCCAAAACAAAACTTCTAAACCAAATTTTTTAACCACAACACTTGTAACCAAAAAGTTAAAGACACTCCCAAGTCGTGAAAATGTTAAACAGATACCAAATGCCAGAGATAATTCTTTGTGACGAAACCAGAAAGCTGTCACCCTATCTTGAACAACTGAAAACGAACAGCAATATAATGTCATGGCTGGATTAATGAACATTAGATAGGATCACTAGTCATACTTCATTTTTGAAGAAAGCATGCGAAGTACGGTAACATATTCACAGTGCTTACAAGCTTATAGTGAATATGTGAACAAGGGCAATAACTCTAATAGAATATTATTATTTGTTTTTGCTGATTCTCGATATGATTCATACTTGGTTCTTAATGAATAATTTTTACTGATTTTTGTCCGAGACCAAAACTGTATGTAGCGTAAGATTTAGTTCAGTTGATATTACAGTAAGGGTATGGGCACACAAGCGGTCTTGGTTGGTGATTTTTGTAAAATCTTAGTAAAATTTTGCATGTGCAAGACAGATCGTCATCATCCAATCAGATTCATGTTCCTTTCAATTGCATGCTCTGCACGTGACAAGGTGGAAACGACCAACTGGAGATTTTTGTTTCCTCATGTGCCGGTGCAAGTCATTGAAACTCAAGAGAAGACTCTAATCAACGTCAAAAACTGCTCATGTGCCTGCACCCATCAGGTGTTTTCAACCTGGGGGCACTATCCCAAGTGAGTAATTTTGCAATTTTCGGGGTGTAGTGAGGCACTTGTAGTCTGGACGATCATAATGCAAGTCGTTCAATTCAGTCAGGCTATAGTCTATGACATGAAAAAGATTGCAGGGAAAACCGTAGAGAAAATCACAAACTAGTAAGGGAAGAGGGGGTAAATGCAATTGATCAAGGTTCCTGAAAGGGGTATTTGAAGGAAAAGATTGAAAACCCCTGCTGTAAATAACTAGAGAACTACATACAACTTACTTCTCATACCACTGTTTCCACTTCCCAGTAAAAATCGGCCTATCATTAACATTGGGAACATATATTCTGTATTTCTTAGTCCTTTGACTATAGATAGAGCAAATATCAGACTACCTGATAGTGATAAGGAACCATATAGCACAGCTCCAACTACAATATAGAATAGAATATTTGGCAGTACAGTAACAATCACCAGTATGAAATATTCAACCTTCAGTCATACACTTCTTTTGGATGATAATTAACAATATTTAACAAGGTTTGTCAAGGTTTTGCCTTTTACGAGCTGAAAATTCAACATGTTTTCAAGAACAAGGGCAATAGCTCATAAAACATATATTTTTTTTTAATAAGGTTTATCATTAAGTGATTATAAACACTCACTCAATTTTGTCAATATTTTAGCCTTCTAGAGTGTTAAAGAGCTACATGCATTGTGAACAGACAGGCAGAAGGAGGGGTCCAACAGATGGACCTGGGCGACGCAAATATGGCTCCACATGTAGGCAGATAAAAATATATCATTATAGATAAATAGAAATGAAAGCAAGCTAAATCAAATGAAACAACAACTGAAAAACTAACTATCAAAACTAATACACACAGACTTAAGTAAGACAAAAAGATAGCTTGCCAGGAAAGATAACATACGCGCACTGGCAGCTGTCAGAAATGATAAAAAGTCTTTATTGACTAAACTATGAATTTTCTCATATTAAAATCAATTGGAAACTTAAGTCTCTAATGTGTTCATAAACAAATTTTGACGCGTTTTTTCTAAGTCAAGGGCAATAACTCAAAGACCTTTCATCGAAATATCAAATTCAAACTTGTCCACTATCTCATCAATATAAATGATCACACCAAATTTCATTAAAATCAGTTGAAAACTGTAGTCTCTATTGTGTTTACAAGAAATGTTGACGGACCGATGGATAGGGGCGACGGCAAGGTATGTAGACATTTCCATGTGGGCGTATAACAAGTATAGTTAAAATGGTTGATGAAAAATATATAACCAATTTCCTTATAGCTTAAGTAAAAAGAAGAAGATAAAATATTTGCTTAATTTTTACAGTAAAGACGAGCACAAGCACAAAGTTATACAAATAACAAATACCTTTAATACTTTAAACCTAGGCTACAAGAGAAATGAATTTAATATTTGAATTATTTATTAAATGTCATCTGACAAGGATATGAACCACAACTTCCTGAATTCTTCAAATAACAATATAAAGTAAAGAATTAGAGTTAAAGGGATTATAGAGAGATTTTCTAAACTTTTTATGTCTATGACAGACACTGATAGCACCCATTTTTGTTCAATTTTCAGTCGGACATCTGTGATAGCAATTCCACTCAAACTAACCGTTTTCTAACATGGCTATCGCAAAGACTATTTGACGTAGATATTGTGATAATGATGTCATAAATCAGAATAGTTCAAGTGAATTGCAAAACTCACACACGTCTGACTGAAAATTTTGGAATGGCGCAAATCGATGTTATCAGTGTCCCTGATATGCATAAAATCTTCATAAAATTCTTTTTACAGTTTCTTTATTAGCCCACATGGTGCAGAAAAGTAGGTCATAAAACTCCATTCATTTCATTTCATTTACAGTTTCTTTAAAAAATTGTTAGATTACAATAAGAGTAATAAAAACTGAAGTTACTTACATTTAGTTCCTAGTTTATCTACCAGAACACCAGCTATTAATACATTGATAGAGGCACTGAAATAAACTTTATTAGTAAAATACCAACATAACTAGAGCTCAAATTATGGATAACTTAAGCCGCTCTTTGCAAACATCAAGGTAACTGTTTATGATAGCTTTACAACCATATATACTCTTTCACATTATTTTTCAAATATTTTAAATAATCACTGCCATACTACATAGCAGTAATGGGTCTTTTAGCTAATTTTTGAATAAAGTCATCTTCTGAAAATAGGTATCACCAGTTAGTAAATTTGACATTCGAATATCCTGTAACCTTAAAAGGACAGATGCACCATTTTGAAGGAATGATTTATGTAAGAAAATCACATAATTACTTTAAAAATACTTCAAACCAGGAATTTTACTCACTATTTTTATATATGTCTTTTCAATATATCACAGAGTATCTTATATTGACGAGTCGTCATTTTAACATTCAATCGCGGATAATTATGGACACACATGCATTTGAAGGCTCAAATTTTGACGGTGAGCTGTGAACACTATCACGGATTGGCTTAGCTAATAAAATGATTGGTCAAAAAAAATGGTGCACCTGTCCCTTCTGCATGGGAGAAGGGGAAGAACTCTGTCAATATCTTATCTTATCTTCATTTGTGTACTATATTTTGTACGAAATAAATATATTATTATTATTATTGCTGACGGTCAAACTCTGTTTCACAAATTTACTTTTAAAGATGGATTTTTGTGTCAAATTAAGCCTTTTCATCATGTATTCTTAATCATATCATTATGTTCTTATTGCATATAATAAAGATTTTTAACCAATCATAAATGTCCATGTAAGTACAGTCTGGATAAAAAAAGACTTTTTGACCTTTCTTGATCGGTCACTAATTCAAATTCTGCTGGTAACTCTCTTCAATTTAGTTAATTATGGATTAATTATGAACATGTGAGACACACTGGTATTTTTTCAAGTCATTAGAGCATCTCTACTTTCTATTCATACAAGTATTAGCATTTTCATTTTCATAAATCAAAATAAGGGAACCCATTTTTAATAGAGTTTCATGCCTGTACACTTTCAAGTGGCTATCAGCAAGTGTACTAACAAAACGCTATAAAAGTGAACAATAAACATTAATGATTTAAAACAAATGAGAGTGTAAAAATGATGCAAAACTTACGTCCATGCATACAAGGCAAATAATAGATTATAATGTAATGGACCTAGTCCAAGACATCCAGTACAACAGGTTACATTAAATTCTGAAGTAGCATTATCAACATCTAGAAATGATCCATTTTCATCACAATCCACCTGAAGTATATTTTCAACACTAAACATATATGCATCTAACAAAAGATAGCCCTACAAAGCAAGGTGACATACTCACACCAGCAGCTTTGATTGATTTGAGGTACTAATCATTGTTTATAGTCTGTACCGTGAGCCATGAGCCAATTGTGAACAGAGGGACGGATGACAATATGCTTCCATACTACATGTGGGCATATATAAATCAACAAAATACATAAAGAATTGTAAGCAAAAGTTGCACCATATAGCTAATAGAGTGAATACACGAAGTTGGAAATGACATTTCAGTGAAAAATTACAGGGATCATCTTCATGACATTGACCCACAAAATAAAAAGCAAAAGAATCTATAATGAATTGTTGCCTGTAGAGTGAGACATGCTCACTAATCAGGGGTGTGAAGGCTGAAATAGGTTGGAAACCACTGCATTATGGGGTAAATGTTTATAGATTTTAGTTTATAGTTTTCACAAATTGGAGCAAAATAAAATTAGACCTACAAAACAAGTGGAATGTCTCTTTAAGCAAAATAAAGTCACAATGAAATCTGATTTTCAGGCTAACATTGAAATGTGACACTGAAGTCTTAAAGAAGAAGTAAATACTAAAATCTAAATTATTTTTTTGGCATCACACATTATTATATTCACTAATGCACTAAACAAAATGATTTAACAGTATCACCCTTAGACTGGGTATTCTATACATTAGATCATTCAGCTACCCAGTGGTACAGATCAGTGTTTGAACATCTTAGCTGACAATAGCAGACAAAAATACTAACCGGTAATTCCTGTAATTCTGTTTGAATAGTGCTTGGCATATCAAAGGAGAAGAATGATCCAAATGTTAACATACATCCACAGAATAATATGAGGAATCTAAACGTACCTACAATAACAAATAAGAATCATCATATTCAATATGAATTATCTTCAACTTGAGCAAGACATGCAGAACATCTGAAAGTGCGGGCACACGAGCGGTCTTGGTCAGAGATATTTGTCGTCGATTAAAATTTAGGACATCTTTAGTGCAGAAATGAACAAGTGATATCTATTCAGAGCAGCAAACCTATATTGGTGAATGAACAATTGAGAGTCTATGTGTCAAAATATATCATATTGTTGTATATCTCTACTTAAAACACCGGTATCAGATAAATCATAAATATACATAGAAAATTTAGAAATAATAATGAACAATAATAATTGGCTTCAAATTCAATACTTACGAAACTCTGAATAAGAAGGCATTTTCAAATTATTTCTTTGCTTTCAAATCTGTTTAACCTTTGTTACCCTAGACAGTTTACCTGAAAATTGAAGAAATCCTCCTATTTAACGACAAAAAGCAAATTTCATTCAGCCATTTGAACAGATTGATCTTATTAACATTGAATAGAATAAATGATTTTAATCATGAACAAAGGATCAATTAGGCCTAATGTTTTAGAAAATGTTTAGCTTAAGCTTTTTTGAGATCCAAACCAACTTAACTGAAACCTCAAAGTTTATCATGTCACATGTTACTACATAATTATTACAATCAATTATAAATTTGGTATCGGTACTTATTTTTCGAATAGTCCCTATTGCCATAAGGTCAAGGAAAACAAATTAAAATTTGATATAAAAACTGTCTCAATCTATAATTTTTGATCCAACTTATTTGAAGGTTTTCCGGGAGATCTGGACAATGACAAAGTCATATAAGATAAAAAAAAAATAAGTCAGTCCACAACAGTCTATAATGATTGTATAAAGTCAAATGTGTGACCGTTCATGACAGCTGATTCATTTAGACTAGAGTTTGCAATAAGTAATCGAAACTAGTTGGTGACATTTAATGGTCTTTAGTGTGGATATGTTGTTCTACGCATGAAGTGCAAATTTGGTCGATTTCAATGCACGATGGGTAAAAAATTTGACCAGCCACAGACACGACATAAGGGTCAAAGAAGACGATAGACTTAAGTTATATTAGCACGGTCTGCGAATCTTACTTAGTTAGTTACTCTGAGTGATGATGCCTTGATTGTGTAATTTTGTTCTTTTAAGATTTCAAAAGCTTTGCTACATAAATGAATGTTGACAAAGTCTGTCTTATCGACTTCCTCTCCTGTCTGGTAAATACCAACACTTGTCAAGTCCGTGAGTAATGATGATTGCCAATCACATTTTCTTAGGAGTTTTCTGAAGTCTTACGATTTGTTTCCCCCGCGACGAGCACCTGCTTCCGGTGTCAAGGTCGGTGATAGATCAAGGTCAATGTCAAAGGTTGTGCATCCGGGTAGGCGTGTCAAAAGATCATCACACGCACCAAAATAGATACATTTTCAACTGAACCTCAGCTTTTTTTTAACTTATGCAAAAGTCTTGCGGACAGATATATGTAATTTTGATGTAACCCTATCTACTGAAATGTATTAACGATAGAGACTAACGGTAAGTATGAGATTTTTCTCTGGGATGGCTAATACTACAGAGAGTGGTTTGTTTACGATGTGTCTTTTTGAGTTGATATTGTGCTAAGTTTATCATGTATGTGTTCTGACCTCCCCTCTTTTTTTTAGAATTTGATTATGCATTGCCTACTGAGAACACATTTAGATTTACATATACGGGATAAATTTGTCTTTTGCTGAAAACTTTATAGAAAGTTGTTAGTAATGCTACCCTATGTCAAACAAGGTTATAAAGTAGATAGGTTAGATAAGGACATAGTAACTTTGACTTCAGTTTAGTAGATCCACCCCCTTCTGAATGACTATTTTTACTCTGAAACCCTTCATCATAAGACTTTCTGTTAAGCCCTTTCTTCATCCTTTTCATCTGTCATCTCATCATATATTGCCTGCTAAAATCGAAGCTTTTCCTTTGTCAAAATGTAGCAAAATCAAGTGTGCCATGTGGATCAGTGTTTGCAACTTATGTCATTCATGTTCTATGTGTAAAATTGGTATTATTATTTTTTGCTCACATGTATTCTAGAATTAAGGCTTTAAGTACATTGATAACTTAGATGCAGGAAAATATCAACAATGATCCAAAATTGGATATAAGGCGTATGTGTATTTAAGCAGTTGACAACAAGAATATTCTATATTCCAAACACTGTTCAATCTTATCAGTCCAAAATTGGGCTTTATACATGTTAGGAAAAATATTCCGCTGTATGGTGACCCTTGACTTATATCTTATTGACGCTTGCAACCATTTTGATGTGGTTTTCATAGAAGTGGTGTAGAAGCAATACCAGGATGACTTTTGATAGGACAGTTGATGGCACCAAAATTATTTCTTATATTAAAGAGCATTTCACCTAAATTTGTAATCAACTGAGCTAACACATCTAGTATTTCAGCACAAAGCTGCACTAGGAAACAGTGGATTGGGGAAGGGGGTTGAAGAAGATTCAACTTTAATTGTAAATGAGTATCGAAATAGATTGACTATGGATAAAGGACAACTTAATTTCTCCAGTGCATTGTCTGTATTTGAGATCTATTCATATAACAAGATAACATTCCATGGTGTAGCTTGTAATTAGAGCTGATTAGAATAGGTTATCTTTTAGCTTTTATTTCTATCATGATACATAACATCCTACAAACATTTATCTTAACTATATTATCTGAACTTTGACTTTTTCAATTTTGAAATCATTTTCTCTTGAATAGAATAAGACCCAGGTAAAAAAAATTTCAATTTTTAAAAGGGGTGTATTGCATATTCAATACCTTTCTTTAAGGGGCAGCATGCAAAATTTTCATTATCAAACATGTCGTAAGTTTTTGGTAATGTGTATGTGTAAACATATCTTAAGTGAAGATCAAGTTTTTTGATTTCCTAATATTAGTACCAGTGTCCATGATCGGTTTCTTGCATCTTGGCTGATTTGTTTGTTCAGGCATATTGGTCTGATTGTATCTCATGATATTGACTTCTTTAGTAGATGGTGGGTGTGAAGTAGATCATGCTTACTCTATTTGAAACAACTGATGGTACTTCTATTTGAAGGAGACCACTACTATTGTACTTGTACTCTTGATTTTTCCTTATTTTGGACGAGATTTTGATTTATTGAATTTTTTGCTAGTACGGATTTTGATTAACCCCTTTGACATATTGAAATTGCTCTAGCCCTTCAGCTTGTAACTGCTTTTTGGAGACAAGTCTGTGACAATCGAATTTTAGTTAAAATTAAAACAACTTTAGTTGTTAACTTCCTTTTCATAAAACTATTTGTATAGACCAAAAATTTAAGACCAAGTGAGGAAAGTTTCTCATGTTACTTACCGCTTTCTGAAGTGGGAATATTTTAACGTGACACGTTATCTCCCTTATACAGGGGTGACTTCTGCATTTGTTGGCGTGTTTGTAAGAGAATAAAAATGATTTGAATATGATATATGTCTTTACAGAACAATATTGAATGTGATATATAGCACAGCAGTTGATTTATAAAAGATTTTAAAATGGCTGGCACGAGTAGTAAAGGTAGGTCTATCAGAATGACATAGTTCCATCATGTGATGTGATTGGCAGATGAAGCCAATTTGTCTTGCAATGTGATTTAAGAATTTTTTTAGTTACTCTGAAACACTCTATAAATATCTAGACATTATCTCATCCAAAAATTTGACCACAGGATAACATTGATTGTCATAACTGTGGAAATTTTCAAGAAGTACTTTTCTACAGCTTGATTCGGAAAATATTACATTATAAAGGCAACTAACAATTTGAAAGGACGTCTGTTTGACCAATCGTACCTTAATCTCAGAAACAGGAATTTTTTAACTAAGCTCATCAGTAATAGTGTTCATACTTTTCTTGAGATTCTGGGAATTTGAAAGACCTTGAAAGAAATATTTGCTGTAAAATGTTGAAATGATTTGAGAACTAGAGGACTGTTCAAACAACTCTATTACATTTAATCAATATATATTAATTTAATAATATATATATTATATAACTAGTTAGTATGTTAGAATAACTTGTTAAACACAGAACACTTTCCTTTAATTTATAGTGCTTTGCATTGTATGAATTTCAATATATAAATAAAGATGGGTTCCCTTATTTTCATTGAAGGAAATGAAACTGATAATACTTATATGAATAGAAAGTAGAGGTGTTCTAATGACTTGGAAAACTATCAGTTTGTCTCACATGTTCATAATTAATTCATAATTAGCTAAATTAGAAGAGAATTACCAACAGAATTCCAATGAGTGACCGATCAAGAAAGGTCAAAAAGTCTTTTTCGTTGTTTATCCAGACTCTCATACATGGACATATATGATTGGTTAAAACTCTTAATTATATGCAATAAGAGCATAATGATATGATTAAGAATACATGTTAATTCATTAGAAACACCAATTAATCAAATAGTGTGCTTTATTTGACAATAGAAAATAAGGAAACCCATCTTTAATGTATACATAAGGATTTTTTTAAGCTTATGCAGGTGGCTGATAATCAGTGTTCAAGTTAGATTGAAAAATTTGATTTGCATTTTATCTCACCAAAACTTAGGTTTGGTTTAAATATAGTTAAATTTTGATTCGCATTTCTTAAAAATGCAGTAGTGAGCATCAAAAGATCTAGCCAATTAAAATTAGACCACTCTTTTGTTCCCTTTTTTTTTAAATTTGTTTTATTTTTAATATAGCCACTTCAGTTAGGGTCTAAAGACAGCCCTTTTGAGCAATCTTACAGTTTGATTTGATTTGCCTTTCAGATCCTCTTCCAGATGCCAGCAAATTTGAAGGTGAAGGAATGATTTTTCGTGCCAAATTGATTGGTTCTGAAATTGTACCAGAAGCCAGAGGTGATAAAATGTGCCAAGAAACTATTCAAAAGTTAAAAGCAATAGTCAAAGTATCAAAAGAACATAAACAGAAAATAAATGTGAATGTGTCATTAGAAGGATTAAAAATCTTAGATCAGGCCACTGGAGTAAGTATTGAAAGCAAAATCAGTTGAAACCTAAGCGGGTTTTCTAGTTTTTATTGGTGTTATTCATGGTTTATGTTTGTATCATTCAATTTTATAGCAAATGTCTGCAGTTCCTTTAATGTTAGAAATGCTTAATTGAAAGTGACATCACTATTATCAAAGCTGCTTATGATATCTAAGGTGCTTTGTAAAAGCTATGTTATAAATACTTAATTTGAGTAAAATTGCAAGACCAACAGATGATTTACGACAAATCAGAATGGTGAAAATAATGGCTCTGTCTCCAATTTCAGTTTAAAAAACCTCTTTTCAATCCCTTTAATAAGGATGCAGATTTCATATTATTTGTTCACAATATTGCAGCACATTTTCTGCCTTACTGCATTACTTTAGATGCCTTACCTTCTGCCTTTATGATAAGTTACTAAGTTTGTTATTTTTCAATTTTGGGTTATTAACTTCAATTTGATGTTGTGATAATTATATTTCAGAATGTAGAACACACACATGAAGTCCATAGAATATCGTTTATATCTCGTGATGTGACAGATTCTAGAGCTTTCGGCTATGTTTATGGACCTGGAGATGGATCTCACAAATTTTTTGCTATTAAAACAGAAAAAGCTGTGAGTACTATTTAGATTCATACCCAATTATTTGCTTTTCCCATTTAAAATGTCTTAAGTGTTCTGGCTTTTGCTCAAAATATTTTATGCTCAATAATTAGTATTATTTATCTCAAGATGTTTATATTTTAGGCTGAAGCGTTAGTGTTATCATTAAAAGATTTATATCAAGATGTTTATATTTTAGGCTGAAGCGTTAGTGTTATTATTAAGAGATTTATATCAAGATGTTTATATTTTAGGCTGAAGCGTTAGTGTTATCATTAAGAGACTTATATCAAGATGTTTATATTTTAGGCTGAAGCATTAGTGTTATTATTAAGAGGTTTGTATCAAGATGTTTATATTTTAGGCTGAAGCGTTAGTGTTATTATTAAGAGGTTTGTATCAAGATGTTTATATTTTAGGCTGAAGCATTAGTGTTATTATTAAGAGGTTTGTATCAAGATGTTTATATTTTAGGCTGAAGTGTTGGTGTTATCATTAAGAGACTTATATCAAGATGTTTATATTTTAGGCTGAAGTGTTATTGTTATCATTAAGAGACTTATATCAAGATGTTTATATTTTAGGCTGAAGCATTAGTGTTATTATTAAGAGGTTTGTATCAAGATGTTTATATTTTAGGCTGAAGTGTTGGTGTTATCATTAAGAGACTTATATCAAGATGTTTATATTTTAGGCTGAAGTGTTATTGTTATCATTAAGAGACTTATATCAAGATGTTTATATTTTAGGCTGAAGCGTTAGTGTTATTATTAAAAGATTTATATCAAGATGTTTATATTTTAGGCTGAAGCGTTAGTGTTATTATTAATAGATTTATCTCAAGATGTTTATTTTTTAGGCTGAAGCATATAAGTGTTATCATTTAGAGACTTATATCAAGATGTTTATATTTTAGGCTGAAGTGTTGGTGTTATCATTAAGAGACTTATATCAAGATGTTTATATTTTTGGCTGAAGTGTTAGTGTTATCATTAAGAGACTTATATCAAGATGTTTATATTTTAGGCTGAAGCATTAGTGTTATTATTAAGAGATTTATGTCAAGATTTTCATATTTTAGGCTGAAGCGTTAGTGTTATCATTAAGAGATTTATCTCAAGATGTTTATATTTTAGGCTGAAGTGTTAGTGTTATCATTAAGAGATTTATCTCAAGATGTTTATATTTTAGGCTGAAGTGTTATTGTTATCATTAAGAGATTTATCTCAAGATGTTTATATTTTAGGCTGAAGCGTTAGTGTTATCATTAAGAGATTTATCTCAAGATGTTTATATTTTAGGCTGAAGCATTAGTGTTATCATTAAGTGATTTATCTCAAGATGTTTATATTTTAGGCTGAAGCATTAGTGTTATTATTAAGAGATTTATGTCAAGATTTTCATATTTTAGGCTGAAGCGTTAGTGTTATCATTAAGAGATTTATCTCAAGATGTTTATATTTTAGGCTGAAGCGTTAGTGTTATCATTAAGAGATTTATCTCAAGATGTTTATATTTTAGGCTGAAGCGTTAGTGTTATCATTAAGAGATTTATCTCAAGATGTTTATATTTTAGGCTGAAGCGTTAGTGTTATTATTAAGAGATTTATCTCAAGATGTTTATATTTTAGGCTGAAGCGTTAGTGTTATCATTAAGAGATTTATATCAAGATGTTTATATTTTAGGCTGAAGCGTTAGTGTTATCATTAAGAGATTTATTTCAAGTGGTTTATGATTTAAAGAAGAAGGAAGTTGAAGAAGCTAAGAAACAGCAAGATCCAAATGTACTACAATTAAAGGGTGTTGAAGTTGGGGAAAGTGATGACTCTGTTTATCAGGTAGGATTAATGTTTATCACATGGGATAGATGTTTATCAGGTGGGATTAATGTTTATCAGGTAGGATTAATGTTTATCAGGTAGGATTAATGTTTATCAGGTAGGATTAATGTTTATCAAGTGGGATAGATGTTTACCAAGTGGGATAGATGTTTATCAGGTGGGATAAATGTATCAAGTGGCATTAATGTTTATCAGGTGGGACACCTAAATACACCGACTTTTGACTCATGTAATTCTAACTTTTGAAGAACTTTTCCAGGTTCCACAAAATGGTGCTCCTGTTGAAGGAACAGATGCTGAATATGCCGTGAGTTGGATTTTTTTTATGTATAACCTTTATAACAATTTATATATATACTTTTGGAATATAACAATTCAATGTAGTATAGTTAGATATATAATATTTGTAGTAACTGGTAGAAATATCTCATAGAAATAAGAATATCACAAAATTAAAATTTTTTAATAGAAGTCTTTTTTTATGTAATTGTTGTTTGCTTCAGTAGTTTAGTAGATTTTGTGACCACATTTTGATTTTTGCATGTGTATTTGTATTAGAAAGGGCACATTTTGAAGAAAAAATAGTTTTAAGTGTTTTTTTTTTATCAATGGTTATACAACTTGTACTTTTTTTGAGCCTAGAAATTCAAAATGTCCTCTTTAACTACCCTCAGCTTTGGGGATGGAATGCTCATATTAACTACATGTTTACATTCCTTATTGATTCTACTAACTGTACTGAGGAATATATATAGGTACCTAAGAGTAATAAACCCGTAGAGGAAGATTCTGGTGGTAATTTATTGGATTTAGAAGATCAACTAACAAATATAGAACAAGTGGGCATATTTATTTTAATTTATTTCTGAAAATAGCCTGTGTTTCCTTTTTCTGGACAGAGCTAAAAGTTTTTCTGTGGATTATTCATCATGAAATTTTTTTAAATATTTGTAATCCAGTTTTGATTAATTTTTTAAATATCAGAATTATGTACATGAATTTATCTCTTTTTTTTTCTTTTGAAGATTTTTGATAATTAAAATCAAAATTTTGAATCTAAAATTTAAAATTTTTCTCTTACACTGCCTTTTATGGTGGAAAAACAGCCCATTGGCAGGCTTTCAATAATGTCAAAAGACTGCAATTTTTATTGTTTTCAACTGATAATCCATGTTAATGATTTTGGGAAAAAATTGGAAACACAGGATATTTTTCTGCTTCAATTCAATCTGAAGGGATACAGTCTTCATGCTACACAGTGAACTATTCAGAATGAAGATTTTTTAATTAAATTATTTTGTTTTAAGTAAATACAAACTTCTGTAACATATTAGTTCCTTGAAGTCATCTTGATTGGAGATGGCTTTTACTAACCTGTAACTGATTCTATGTAGAAGAACTAGTCTGTTTCTTGTGGTCACCATAATTGTCTATTACATGCTCCATTTCGTAGAAAGTTCTCTTTTTTAATTGTAGACAAACTGTTAATCAGATTTATGTTGTGAAAAGTATGTAGTTGTAACATTCTGAAAAGTTATATATTAATTCTGACAATTTTGAAAAGTTATTTAGTAGCTCTGATACTCTGAAAGTTATTTCGTGTCTCTAACATTATGAAAGTTATTTCGTGTCTCTAACATTATGAAAGTTATTTCGTGTCTCTAACATTATGAAAGTTATTTCGTGTCTCTAACATTATGAAAAGCTATTTCGTATCTCCGAAATTATGAAAAGTTATTTCATATCTCTGACATTATGAAAAATTAATTCGTAGCTCTGGCGTTCTGAAAAAAAATTTCGTAGCTCTGTCATTATATTCTGGCATTCTGAAAAGTTATTTAATAGCTCTGACATTCTGAAAAGTTATTTCGTAGCTCTGACAATCTGAAAAGTTATTTCGTAGTTCTGATATTCTGAAAGGCTATTTAGTAGCTCTGACATTCTGAAGAGTTATTTCGTAGCTCAGATATTCTGAAAAGTTATTTAGTAGTTCTGATATTCTGAAAAGCTATTTAGTAGCTCTGACATTCTGACAGTTATTTCGTAGCTCTGATATTCTGAAAAGCTATTTAGTATTTCTGATATTCTGAAAAGCTATTTAGTAGCTCTGACATTCTGACAGTTATTTCGTAGCTCTGATATTCTGAAAAGCTATTTAGTATTTCTGATATTCTGAAAAACTATTTAGTAGCTCTGACATTCTGACAGTTATTTCGTAGCTCTGATATTCTGAAAAGCTATTTAGTATTTCTGATATTCTGAAAAACTATTTAGTAGGTCTAACATTCTGAAAAGCAATTTAGTAGCTCTAACGTTCTGAAAAAATATTTCAAAGTAACAAAAGAAGACTATGTTCCTTTCAGCGTCCACTTAAGTTGTCGTTTAATTTAATTGTTTGCTTTTTGCAGAAATTTGTTTTTGTATTAGAATGATATATTTATACATGTAAAATCAATGTTAATAGCATATAAAAGTTGGTTTGTTGTATTGTATGGGTTTTTGTGGTGTTTTTTGTTTTGTTTTGATAAATGGAATTTGCTGTGAAGGAATAATCTTATTGATAAGAGAAATTGAAAAGCAACAAGTACTATATTCGCTGGCACGGGGTTTAAGTCATGTTTAAAAATAATGTGATGATTACTGGTATAAACTATATCAAAGATCAAAATTATGAATGGCTATCATATAATAATTATAATTGGCCTAAAAATGATAATTCAGTGCCTCTTGATGAACTTTTCCCAACTGATTTACAATGTGTTTTATTGATGAAATGTTAAATTGAACATGCTGAAATCAAGAAAATAAAAAAATATCAACTTGAGTGTTTTTTTTAAAGAAATAGGTCAAAATTAAACATCTAGTCTAGATCTAAAACTGATACACTTAAGCTATATAACAGTTTATATAGGCATAACTGCATATCAACTCCTTGTCCTACAAATTAAGGGATATCTTTGCTAGATTACCAGACTGATATTCTTGTTGTTTATAATAAATATGCGGAAAAATTTTTTTATTAGAAAACGTAAAACGTAATGTCTCAATACGGAAACTTAAATTCAATAATGTTTTGGACTACTGTATAGGTTCTTGCCTTTAATGAAGCGAAGAGGTGCACGCTAAACAGAACAAAGCTATTTTGATCCTTACCTGAAATAAAAAGAGAGTACCCATATCTGAGTTCATATGGCACATATATTTTTCAATTTTCTTATTTTTTGTATTGTAGGGTATTGAACAAATGAGTTCATTTGATACTTTGTTCAGTGCTGGACCATCAGACGCACCAACATCAACTGCTCCTAATGTAGCAGCAACAACATCATCATCTGCTATGGATGATTTAGCCTGGGCTTCCACACCAGCGCAATCAGCACCAGCAGCATCAGCTTCTCAAGCTCTGGCTGGACTCGGTCAAACAACCACACCATTTGGTATACCTAGTATTAGTGGACCAGGAACACCATTTCCTTCCTCTACAGTTACATCTAGTCCATTTCAAACTGGTTTCCCGGGAACATCTGTTCAACCGGGTTTTGGTGTACCATCTCCTCGTTCTGGTTCCCCATTTGGTACACCTTTTGCAAGATCATCTTCACCATTTGCTCAGCCAAGTGGTTTTCAACAGGTAAGCAAAGTAGCTATTTGAAAGCTCTAATAGTTCAGTTTGCTTTCAGTTTGGCAATTTTACTGTTAAAGGGACAGGTTTGCCATTTTCTGGAGTAGATTTGGGTCTTCAATATACTTAAATTCAGAAATACTAGAAATGTACGAAATCACATAATTACTAGGAATTTCTTTTCCTATTTCTATAGTTGTCTTTTCTATAAATGACACTCTTTTTAACTTTTAAGCATGGGTAATTCTGGACACACATGGATTTGAAGGCTCATATTTTGTACTGTAAGTTGAGATATTGGTCATCAGCTAAGCTAAAAAAAATTACAGTTTTTGAGACTCGGGTATGATTGTTCAAACGAATGGCATTCCTGTCCTTTTTAAGAAAAAACTAAAAAATGATGATATGTTGGAATAAAGTACTAATCATTTTATTTTGCTTTTCAGTCCCCTGGTCTTCAACCACCTGGACTCCAGCCACCACCCAGGACAGCACCAAATATACCTGTTGCTACTGACCCGTTTGCTAATGATCCATTTGCAGCTTCTGCCTCCCAAAATGTGCCAGGAGGGATGAATCAGGGCAATATGTTTGGCTCTGCAGCTGGTAATCCATTTGGAACACCATCATCCACAGGTGCAAGTATGTTTCCACCATCTCCAGCACCAACTGGAAATGATTCAGGATGGCCCAATGCACCCCCAGACCTATTAGCTCCAATGAAAGTTGGTGGAGAATCTGATGCTCCAAAAGAACCTGAGAAGAAGAAAGATTTATTTGGTGATCTGTGTGATATAGGAGGTTTCAGTAAAGAGAAGAAATCGCCAAAAGATATGTTCAAAGATTTGAACTCTCCAGCCAAAAAGACTTTGAATGAGTTAAAATCTGAAAATTTAAAGGTTACTGCTAATCCTGCTCTACCACCATCACCTCAGCCAATATTTGGCTCTGGTGATCCATTTGGAATGCCAGCACCAAATGCTGTACCAGCTGCTGCTCCAGCATCAAATGATCCTTTTGGCAACTTTCCACCAATACCAACAACACAACAGGCAAGTGTTGATGCAGATCCATTTGGTCCACTTGATAAAACTATCCAAAAAATACCAGACCTTGCCAGCACATCATCAGATCCTTTCGACACGTCAACCTTCCTGCACATATCCACTCCTGCTAAATCTACACCATCCTTGTCATCACAATCAGCTCAATCAAATGCTGTCAAAGAAACTATATCACCTGCAAAAATTGCTCCTCCAGCTTCAATTCATCAAAGACCTCGTCCAAAAGCTAAAAAACCAGAGAGTATAGTCAGTGATAA